GAATAAATTATAATGAAAACTTATCAAAATAATGGAAAAATGTCTWTTAATATGCCTAATATTGACATCCCTTAAATAAACCCCTGCTCTCCCTTTCCACCTGGCAATAAAAGTCAATGAAAAAAAMMAAAMYYMAWTTWAAMMRRAAAAAGATKATGGTTTTCAAAAACAGAAGAAATCTGGCACAAGACACCAAGAAACTTGGTTGTACAGCACAAATAGTAATCCGCGGAATTATGAAATTTCCAAAATACAAAGTATGTATTAAAAAATCTTATTGTCTAGGGTGTTCATTTAGTAATTGTTAGTAAATTCAGGACACACAGACAGACAGACATACAGACAAAGACAGACAGACAGACAGAAAGACAAACAGATAAAAGACTTAATTTTAACATTGATTATTTCTTAATATCAAATGAATATTAATTGAATACCATGTTCTAAACTATGCAGCTTAGTATTGACACACCAAAGAGGCGCCGCACAGCATCTGAAAAGTTAAGAACGGAGATAAAGATAAAGAATGGTAAAAATGCTGAAGGGGAAAGGCGGTTGTATATAGACTTGCCAATTAAACATGAATTTCATATAATGGGAGAGGTAAGAATTCCATCAGGATGACATGGCAATAATCTTTTATGATTAATATTATTTCCATGGAAGCACAGGGATAGCTGCATTGAATTTGATTGCAGGGTGGAGGAATCCAGCAASAGGTTGATCCATTAATGATAGAGAAGATTCATGAGCTGGTTGGATCAGGTGCCTAGTATTTAATTGTTTTCATATACTCTGCCCCCTTACGAATATAGAGTCCTGCTTTACCATTATTATTGGATGTATAATAATATATTATATAAAAATAATGATAATAATCTAATATTGTTTTATCAATTGTTTTATCATGATCATAGGTGWGAGATCTGTCAATGAAATGAGGCGCCACCTCAGAGGATTTGYAGAGAAGGAAATCTTTGCTGGAAAGACAAAACCACCAATAACAAACAGGAGATTCAATCCCACCAAGAAAGACATACGGAATCATATTTATAGTGCAACAGTGAAGCAGCGCTTTTCAAAATGTGACCAAACAAATGTATCCAAGATTGTTGAAAAATGGAGAGAACAAAACCCAAATGACAATTTCCTCTTTCGCCCTTATGCAGATGTTGAAGAGTGTTGTGAAACCATTGGTTCTGACCTTGACAATGATAATGTTGATAACGATGACAATGATTGTAATGAAGATGATGAGGAAGATGTTAAGATCAAGCATGCTCTCTCCAAGCAAAAGCTCCTGTTTGCCAACCAAACAGAATGGCAACAGCATCTCTTGTCCAGATATGGCAATGACATTTGCTTGCTCGATGCCACATACAAGACAACTCGATATGCACTACCCCTATTCTTTATTGCAGTGAGAACCAATGTAGATTATCAAATTGTTGGTTCGTTTGTCATACAAGATGAATCCAYAGAGTCCATMATGGAGGCATTRAAAATTTTCAAGAAGTGGAACCAASGATGGGAGCYATCATACTTCATGGTAGACTGTTGTGAGRAGGAAATAAATGCAATKGAGGGAACTTTTGCAGGTATGTCTACACACAATTAYAGGTGATTGYACTTTTTAGTATTCTTTGGTGATATAATACCTGTACCTCTAATTGCATASTAGGTTGCATGGTGTATCTCTGTGATTTTCATAGAGAACAAGCATGGGAAAGGTGGGTAAACAAGAAGGACAATGGTGTGTCACAACAGCGTGATGAAATATTAAGCCGCTTGAGAAGGATTACCCATGCATCCACAGAAAAGAAGTACAGTGATGCTGTATCAGCCCTTAAAGCAAGTGAACTGTGGAAAACAAATATTAAGCTACAAAACTGGTTTGAAAAGACATRGCTTAGAATGTCAAAGGTTAGTTATAAGCATCATCATCGTCATGATTATGGCTACATTTATATACACTGTTATCCTAACATACAGCCTTTTGCAAAAATTATGAGAATTATCTAAATATCATAATATAATTCATAATTCATTGTTGACATCGAGAAAATATTCAGAACTACGGATAAGTCCGTTGCCAAAAAAAACTAAACAACAAAGACAAGGGACTAAGGGCATCGCGCGGGATCATGCACTTGATATTATGATATTTAGATATTTCAACAATTCTCATAATTTTTGCAAAAGGCTGTATAAATCATTAAATAAATAAATCATTTATTTGTAAGGTTTGAAAAACCGTTATAAGGAAACTCAATATATAATGTATTGATGTTGTTGTAATTCTTATACTAAAAATGAAAAAAAACTTACACAATTTCAATTCTCTTTTGGAAATAGAGGTGGGTGTGGGCCTTTAGAAATGAAGGCTTTACTGTAAAGGTGAATACCAATAACGGATTAGAAAGGCAAAACCAAGTCTTTAAGTATAGCTACCTACAGCAACACAAGTCAAACAGCCTTAGTGGTACGCTCACAGTTTTAGTTGAGGAGTATCTTCCTGATAAGTACAACAAGTAAGTAAAGAATGTCATGTACAATAACTAATAAGTCATATGTTGGAATAAAAATCACAAGTCTTCTCTGTTGGGATAATCAATGGGTGAATTGATTATTTCAATGAAATTAATTTTTTTTTTGTATATTTCTCAATTATTTAGCTATGTGCAGATGAATGTCCAGTGCAGTAGTGCATATAAGGCATACAACAAAAACCTACCAGACTTTTTGTGGAACAGGCCACGTGATGTCATATCACATTGTACATGACGAGCTTAGCTCTAAAAAGATTTTCTCAGCATGATGCATTATAACACCATTTAAATATTTATTCTGAAGTACACACGATGACATTTAGTTGTCATCAAGTCTAAAATAAATGCGACGACCTTTGGCTTATGAAGATTAGCAGTAATATAAAACCCATTGATAGCGTACTAGACTAGCCGCCCTACTTCAAACATTTTAATCTTAAAATTSTTTTAAGTTTCTAAAAAAGTAAATGTTAGAGAAAGGGAGCTACTGTAAACCGAACATGAACRTTRGGGAGGCAAAAAAKTATGATTACATCGGTATATTATTTATATAACATCGCTGAAGCAAAATAACAATCAGTGAAGTTCAATAATACACGATTGTCAAGCGCTATACTCTTGAACCGTGTACCATGCTTACATTATGAAGTTCTAATCCTAAATTAAAWTTAAATTTAATCAAATTTTTGTGAGAASGTCTTCAAAGTATCCTACAAGCTCTTTTAGAGAAGGCMTWGATTTTGGGTCAGTGTCCATTGTCATTCTCAACTTTCTTGGCATAGGTAGATTGCACTTCTTACGAACAAAATTATACATGTGTCCATAAGAATAAACGTCACTGTATGTCGAAGGTTTCTTGGTGCCGTCTAAGATTTCTGGTGCAATGTACGATTTTTTATTGAYTTCTTGAAGATGTTTGGCCTGTGCTGGTCTACATTTGGCAAGTTCTATCGGCACACTGCACCCGAAATCGATGATCACGGGATTGTAACTTGCGACATCGCTGTCACTGTCCGGTTCTAACACAACATTATTTCCCTTAAGATCGTTATGAATAAAACCTTTGTTGTGTACGTGTTCCAAGGCTTTAGCAATACCAAGAAAAACTGTATTCCACATGTTTACATCTAGAAGAGCTTTATCCGCGGCTTTGAACASTGTTAACGTAGTGTCTTTGACGCCATGAAACAAAAGGACTARRCACACAGGAAGCGTTTCTCTGCATATTCCAAAGAGAAGAGGTAGTCCCTTATGGTCGCCAAGGTTCATGATAGTCCTCGCTTCAGTCTCTGCCGAATKCACAAGACTTCTGAGTGTTTTTTTGCCTTTTCGGTCTTTGTATTCCTTTACAGCRACACTTATTCCCCTGTACTTCGCTAAGTAACATGTGCCATAGGATCCAGTGCCAAGAGCCGCTACTCCTTTCATGCGATGTATGAGCGAGCGGTCCASAACTTTTATCTCAGACTGTAACTTTTTTCTTTTCTTAGGAATTTCTTCCCTCGTGTCGCATTTTGCTTTTTTCACGCATAAACTTGCTGCCGGCCTTTTCTGATGATTTACTGACTCATTACATCGCTGTAGGGCCGCATCTACCATATGTCTACCTCTTGACGGAATTACAACCTCTACTACACCATTGGTGATATCTTGGGCTCCGCCTATTGCCGCAGACTTTGAAATGTAAACAGCTTCATTATTTTCTCCATTCGTAGTAGTAGACACAGTAGTTTGAACAAATGCTTCCTTGACTTTCTTGACTTCGGATATATTCCCTTTGCCCTTTTCTTTGTTTAAACGTGCCTTTTTGTTAGCCTTCCATTTCTTCTTTTTATATTTTCGAATTTCTTTAAGTCGTCTCCGAGCTTCATCGTGTCGATCATCTACGTCCATTTTACGATTTAGTGTCAATAAAATTCTACGCTTTACGGAATGAACTATAAACGTGTGCCAGTAAAGACCGGATCAGTATCGAATTACAGTTAGTGTTTTTAACTGGAATACTGGACAGGAAGTGGAACTTACGCTAAGTATCAAATTATGGCCATCAAATTACGTTAAAAATGATCCAGGCACAACGTACTTTGTCGAAAGTATTAAGTTAAAAGACTTATATTTTTAGCTATATTTGCAATAGGCAATCCGCATACCAAAAAGGCACTACTGTAAATGCAGTTCAAGGCCCGATTTATGTATTGTAATAGCCTATGTTTACATCCGGAATCTTCTCTCACAGTGACTAGCCTTGTTTTTGATTGGTCAATGACATGAAATAAGACTCACGTTCTTCACGACAAAAATCAAACCCTCTTTGGAGTCATCGTATAGGCCAGAGTTAAACAATTTAGACCATGGCTTCTACATATGTTGTAGAATGTTCGGTGTGTCCAAGAACATTTAAAACATCTACAAGTTTATTTAAACACTTAATCACCAGCCACGGACAGAGCAATCGCCCTTCCAGTTTGACATTCAAGCTCAACGAAACCTCGGCACAATTACCGAGATACCGGCGCATC